AGACAACATACGACAAGCCCATGATTACACAGGTGATTAAGGCCAGAAGATTACAGTGACTAGGTCATGTCATAAGGCTTCCTATAAAGGCAACAGCTTCACAAGGGCTCCACTATGAGGGAAAAGGGAAGAGGCCATCCCAGATAGGGTGACCACCTGTCCTACTGTGGGAGGACATGTCCTACGTCCTACCGTCTAATGGAAATGTCCTACTTTTACAGATAACTACTTCTGGGCCAATAGGTAGTCATTAATAATAACAATAAACTTTTTTTCATATTTATATATTAAATAATGGGTACAATTGCAACAAAGAGTAGTATTTAAAACAATAAGAGTAGTATATCAATTTTAAATTATTTACTTATCAATTTTTAGTGTTTTGTGCTTTTTTTACTACCGATTTTTATTGTTTTAAGCTGGGTTGTCAAATGTCCTACTGGGAAGCATTATAAAACTTCAAATGTCCTACTTCGACTATGTCAATATCTGGTCACCCTAGTCCCAGAAAAAGGTGGATAGATGGGGTCACTGAAGATCTTCAAGACCTCAGAATCGAAGATTGGCAGAGGCAGGCTGTAGACTAAACGATCTTACCTGTCTCCCCACTTTGCACCCTTTTCATCCTTCATCTCCCTCACTCCCATTTCACCAACTTTTCTCCTCCAACCTCCAGGTCGTACCTATGAGTGGAACCTGGAGACACACCCTTTTTCAATTAAAATGTAAATGTAAACATGTAGACCGAACAAGACGGAAAAGGATTTTTGATTGCGGCTAAGGGCCTCCAAGGCCATGGGCGTAGCCAAAGTTTTGTTCTGGGGGGGCCTAGTGGAGGCCAACCTGACACAAAATTGAATTATTTCAAATTATTGTTCATTATTGGGCACTTTTTTTTAGTATTCAAAACTTTTATTTTAGCTTTAGGTGTTTACAAATCGACTCAACACTTTTACGGCTGTGATTTCCTGGGGGGGCACCAGGTACCCTGGGAGGGGCCGTGCCCACCCAGGCTCCCCCCTCGCTACGCCCATGTCCAAGGCCCATAATGACAGACGAAGAAGAATTACCCTTTAACAGATAATTACTTACCAAAAAATAAATCAGCATCGTCGTCATCATCTAACGGCTTCCTAAAATCAACGTATTGCGGGCAATTAAACTCCCACTTAGCACAATCATCCATATTTTCTTTCGTAAATATTCAGAAACGAGTAAATAAAACATACAACTTTCAAATCTTCCGGTGATTTTAAGAAATCGATAAACTGACCAATAGAATTGAATCTTTCATTTGATAATAAATTGACCAATAAGGAACCAGATATTAAAACAAAAGAAAAAATAAACTTTTTATAGATGGCGTTATTAAATTTTTATTATATATTTTTTTAAAAATCTATCGTCGATTGAGTTATATTATCGATTTAAAATCCATTCACAATTATTGAATAACATACATGAAAATAATAAAAATGTCGACTAAATATTTTAATTCGTCTTCGACAATTATATTGCAAATACAGTATATTAAATATTTTAAACAATGATTCTATTTGCTTCGTACAGATATCCTAAAAATTTATATACACTTCGATAATGTTATTTAAATAAATATATATTTTAGTAAGAGGCAAACAATAGAAGATACCGTACTGTACTGTTTACTTGGCTTTAAGTCGTTTCGCTAATACAGCGCTTTTCAATTATTAACCTTCAGATTTTTATGTCGTGAAAACGGCAAAATATATATATTTTCATGTTAAATAAATTAAAAGAATGTGTAGTCTTAACAGCTGAAATTTGTTTTATTTATTTCACAAAGTATACATTATTAAAATCTTTTCGTTTTTATTCAAGTTTCGTTCACTAATTAGCATTATTTCTGTAAAAAGTTTTATACAGAAGTTTTCTGATTAAAAAAAATAATAATAATTTTTATTGTCTGAATTAAAGGTCTCAGAGAAAAAGCTTTTTAAGTTGCACGAAGTCGGAACGGAATTTCAGCTATTTTCGTATGTACAATTTCGTGATCAAGGAATTCACCAATTTCGTGATTCAAGGAATTCACCATGTATCAGTATCTTGAAACGTCTCAAGTCCAGGATTTCTCTGAAGAACTCGCGTTAACTTTCTCTATATTTTCTTTACTTCTCCAGTTAACCGCTTGGTTATCCGGCTAATCAGTCATAACTTGTATGGTATCTGTTTAGAGGCAGCTTTATTCTATAGCAACATTTTGTAGAATGCACTGTATTTATAAAAAATGTGTTTTTAATAATTGCACATTCTATTTTAATTTTATTACAATTATAAATAATTATTTAATTTTAACACAGGTGACAAACAGCTTGAATCAAGAGATCAACGCCATATTCCAGTTACACAAAAAATGTTTATTACTAGTAACATCTTAAATCACATCTCAAATAGGTAGAAACTCATTTTCTCGTATTTTAAAGGCTACACAGAAACTGGAAATTTGGAGTAGAAGTAATAGAGTCCTTGGAAATGGTTTTGAGGCTTGACAAAAATGCAAAAATTAATTAGTGTCAACCTAGAGCGTTGGTAGATTCGAAAGCAAGGCGGGTCGAAAAAACAACAGGAATTTTTCGGAAAATTTCAGGTGGCTAGCACGTTGATGAGACTTGAATCCACGACCAGTGTTCGATGGTTTTATTCACTCGCCCACTGATAGGCATTAAGAATCTCATAGGAGTGTTGTAACTAGTTACTCTGAAAAGTAACTAACTGCGATTCCTAATTAATTTTAAAAAGTAATTTAATAATTAAATTACTTGTTTAATAAGTATTTTGATTAATTGTACAACTTTTACTATTATGTTTCTTTTTGTTTGTAAACTGACCTCGCTTTTGTATCCTCAAAAGCAGTTCTGGCCAAGATAGCAAATTTTTATTATTACCTCTGAGCCAGCCGGTTAATGTCAGACTGCGGCTTTGGGTGACCCAGGATCAGAACCGGGATTTTAATTTTAAGACCTTCGGGAATTTTCGGGGATGACCACTCCGGATATGTCTAACTCCGTTCCTCAACATCGGCCGCTCCTTTGTGCGCTTGGTTGAATCAACGATTGACATTTAAAAAAGACTTATTACCCACAGAGCGGAAAGAGTTTTAAAATACTCATTACCTCTACAATTACATATCAAATCGCAAAATAGGAAGAAAATATTTCTAAAATATGCTGTAACCACGAAAAAGTTTGCTTGAAAGAAAAATTGTGGACAAATAATTCTTTATGATGTCATCCCCATAATTCTTCATCCTTAGTCAGTTGAAGTTTTTAAAACAAAGAAAGCATGAAATTTAAATTTTTAAACATGCTTAGTTTTCAAATTTAAGTTTTAAATATACAATTGACAGCCAATGAAATAATATTTTCAACCACGAAATGTAAATTGAGCGGGAAAAGCAAAACAAAATCAGTTAGAAATCGTTCAACTGTTGATAATGGGTCAGAAATACGATTTAAAATTTAAATTATAAATTAATAATAAAATTCGTTGAAGATTTTTAAATGTTTAAGTTCGTTAACTTTGGACCGATTTAAGTATATACATATAAATGGTTCAAATATATGTAAAAATATGCAGTAAATATTTAACAACATTATAGATATACAGTAACTGTATTTGTAAAAAACAAAAAAAAAAAAAAATGCTCTAATGAGCATGACCCATTGTAAAAAGTAACAGCATTGGTTTCGAAATTATTGAAGTTTTTCATAAAAGTTCGTAGAATGTTTTAAAGAGCAAACTCTTCTTTGGGTGTCTTAATTTTTAAGTTCTTTCTTGTTAGAATACTCTCCATTAGAAGTTATTCAGTGATTTTACATAAACAAGAAGAGTTGTTGAATTTAACCTGTAATTTCCACTTACATCAAAAATTCTTAAGCAGGTTTCATTTTGACTGTTACAGCAATATTTCTAGCACGTATGTAGACTATTTACCATAATAGTATATATCAGTGGTTTTCAAACTTTCTTACTCACTGCGCACTTTAGCAGTAGTAAAAATATTTTGGCATACTTTGTACATAAATTCGAAAATTTATTCAAAAATGAGGGTTCAAAAAATAAAGTTAAAAAAAAAAATTATTCAAAAATTTGGTTTTAACATGTATTAAGCAGAATCACGATTGCATGAAGCTAAAAATGTGGATAATTTAAAATACAGGGAAATTTTATATACTTACCTGCATTCAATAATGAAGCAAAGTTCTCAACGAGAAATACGTATTTAATGTTTTTTGAAACGTTTTCAATGCTGGGACGTATTTGAGAAAGACAAATCGTCATATATGACGTACAGTACATAACTAAAATTTACATTGAAAACAAAGTTATAGGCTACATGAACTTTCTTACGAATTTCACTTGGCATTTTTCACATTTTTCAAGTCTCTTTCGCGGCGTACGGTTTAGGAACCACTGGTATATATGTTAGGAGTGTATACCATATACACACACATGGCAATTTACGATAACTGGTTTCATATGAAATATCAACACTTCCATACTTTAATATGGAAGGAAAATCATATATTTTGCAGACTGCTTCATAGAAAATTTCAAAATAAGTCGAGAATTTTTTAAAAACATTTTATCTAATTACTATTTAATACTTTGCATTAATCTTTATAAATGTAGAGATCAAAATTTAGTCATTTGAAAAAAACAAATTTCAAAGACGGTTGTTTTTGTTCTTTTACAGCCGAAATCTGCAACGTTCTATAAGATAAAAAAGTTGTATATTTAAAAAATGTAAGTTAAAAATTTTTTACAAATATTTTTGCAACGTTCTCTTTAACAAGTCAAACGTTTCTTTTACTCTGTCCAGTTTCGGTTTTGCGCCTTCTCGCATTTCATCTCAGCCACTTTTAATCATGTTAAAACGAATACTTATTTTAAACTTCTACCATATTTCAGAATTTTTACATTAATAAATGGGATAATTTCAATGAAATTCAACTTTTAAATCGACGTTTGTAAAACGTTTTTACTCACAAGTTTCACATAATGTAGTTACAGTTTCAAGAAAAGTACAGAATACCTGTATTTAACAAAATGTTTATTACAAAAGGTAAGAACTGAATTTTGTATTAATTATTTTTAGTTAATACTTTTTATCATTTGATTATTTATTGCACATTATGATGTATATCATAAAATATGATAAAGTATTGTAAACATTTTAATATTTAATTAAATTTTAAACAGATTTCAAGAAGTAATTTACTTCTTACTTAAACTATATTCCTTATACATTAATTTAAACACATTTTTTTGCATAGTTTCTTCCAATCTAAAACACACAACTATGTCATACACTACACTATATAAATGACACTTCAACTCCATCTATAATGAGCATAAGCTTTATTAGCTTCACAATTCCTATGAATGTCTTGCTTTTTCTTCACCACTTTTCCGGTATTATTCGATGCATCGATTAATTCTTTGGCTAATTGTTCGGTAAAACGTATTTTCCTGTCTTTTTCTTTGCCAGCCATCACTAACCATTTCATACCGTAAAAGGTACCTTTACTTGGCTTAAGTGGTGTCGGCACTCTGTAATTGATTCCTCCTCTTTTCACTGCTGTCAGGATAACAATAGGAGTAGAATTTTCCACAGCTCGATAGAGAATCTTCAGAGGATCGCACTCTATAGAATCCCTACTTTCTTCTTTCGCCGAGTGATATTTTTCCAGTTGAATTCTTTTTATACGTGTGAAAGTTTCATCCAACAACTCTCTAGCTAACACTTTATTACTGTATTTCATGATTGAATTAATGAATTTGTGTTTTAACGGATCATAGAAAACAGAACTAGTTTCGTAATTAGTAGCAGCTTTCACTGGACGAAAGGCAAGTTCACTTAATTTTCCTTCCTCTTTTAATTCTTTCTGATAATCTTTATCGTAAATAGGATCGATGTATATAGGAGGATAACGGTTCCATCTAACGCTATTCACAGAATTAAAATTACTAAACCAATTCAAAAATTCTTTACGAAAGTAAGCATTTACCCTTTTCAACGCCATGCTTGTACAATTTACCTTATCGTATTCGCCCCCTTGCGTCAAACATTATCCGTCCATTTATATTTTAATCGATTTTTAATTTATAAATAATATTTTAACGGTTTGATATAAAAATATTTAATTCGCTTACAAAATATAATTTTAAAAATCATGAAACTAACAAATTATTATCTTTAAACCTCAAAACTTAAAAAAAAAGACACGCACGAAATCGACGTAGCGTATAAAAATATTACCGATCGAAAAACATTATAAAAAATAAAACAAATTTATATAAGTTAGTTTTATATTGATAAAATTATTACATAAAAAAATAAATATATTTTAAATACGAATTTTAAAATTATAAATTTTATTTGATAGGAAAATAATTCAGAATCGAGCGTGTCGTTGTTGTGGCGTGCGGGTTTTGACAAGACGCAGACGAAAGGTTTGTTTGCTTTTTTTGAATGGTAAATTAGATTTGAAAAAAAAAAAACGATCTGATGAATGATAAAGCATATCAAAGTTACTATATCAATAATAACGTAAATGAAAGATAAAGTTCTTAAAGAATTGTTTTTAGTTGCACGTTAGAAATTTATCCCTAAGTGTCATCATGTCCATAAATGATTTGGTATTTTGGTCCTTAGTGATCGATGGCTTGATTTTTATAAAATTTTAATATTTTTCTACGTATTTTATATTTAATTAAACAACGCCAATTATATTATTAATATTAACATATTACATGGTGATTGTTGTGTATTTTTAATTTATAAATTTATATATATATATATATATTTTTTTTTTATTTAAAATATACACTTATATTTTGATATTGTTTTTAAATTTTAAATAATACATAATTTGATTCTTGATATAATATTAAGATTAGCATTGAAAAGTAATTAAGGACTTTAAATGGAAAAATAATAATGCATTTTGTAAAATAATATTAAAACAGTGCATGAAATTCTATATTTAAAGTATAGATTTTCAATATAACCATTGATAAGTGTCTGCTGATTTATTTTAAGATCAAATAAGAAATTAGCTTTTATTATATTGATATTAGTTTTTTGTTGAAAACTCATTGTTGAATTTCTTTTTGTTTAGTGTTTTGAATTTTATAAATCTTACTTGAGATGATTTTAAATGCAATTTAAAATACAATTTAAAATAAACTTCAGCACCTGTAATATATATTATTATTTATATTGTGATATAAATAAATATATAACTATTAACTAAATTTAACTTTTGCTGTTGTGTATATGTATATAAAATAATAGCAGTTACTTTTAGTTACTTTGTATATACTGTAAATGTCTATATAAATAAATTTTCTTAAATGATATAATACAATGTCTGAGTTTTGAAATGTAGTAAAAAATAAGAGACTGATTTACAAGTAAAATGTAATGAAATTATTTGAAATTTTTATATGTATTTAGTATTAATTTTTTGTGATTTCTGGAAGGATATGTTTTATTAGTGATATACAAACTAGCAAGAACCCATCGAAATCGGTAGTGTTATTCAACTAAAATACAATCAATGAGTTCATTTAAAATTTTGCTTTCTACACGGAATCATCGGTACAGCAAATGTTTTCCAGTCCATCTTGCAGGTGATTTATGTCTATCTATTCTCCAGTTCTATGTGACATCTTCCACTGATCCTGTCTCTTGATGGCTTCTTTCAATTTTGCATCTGGGTCCCAGGGTGACAAATTAGCATTCTTAAGGCTGATCAGTTTCAGCTGGTGGGGCTTTGGATTAGCAGTGACGGTAGTGGCAGCTCGCCTGGTGGCAATCACCTTGTGAATAAAACTCTGACCTACCAACAGTAAAATGTTCAAGTGTACTCTTCTTTTTGTTGGTAGGTTTGTAGAGAAATCTAGCTATAGTTACTAAGTAGAGAATTGGACAGTTAGGATCATATTTTGGTTTCATAATAGAGTAATGGTAAAGTAAAAACAAAGATTGGCATTAAAAGTTGGTGCTGTATTCAATATTAACAAAACTAATTTATTTGAAAAACTTTTATTGTCTTTTTTAATGTTGTAAAGTATATGCATTTATTTTATTAATACATACTTTTTTACTACATATTCTAAAAAATTAAAATAGCTTAGTTCAAAAATAAAAATGATTCTTAATTTTATTTTATTATTATTTAAATAGATAGTATAAGTTTAAATATAAAAAACCTCAACTAGACGTAAATACCAATAAACCAGCAAAAATAAAAGAAATAAAACAAATGTTTTCTTCTATTTTAAATGGTCATCCCCAGGTTCAAAAAACACAGATATAAACAAATGCATTTTTTAAAAATAGAACAGAATTTAAAAGTTGTATATGTCACAAAATATGCACATGTTTAAATTTATTAATGTTAAAAAAATAATGTAAAAAGACTTTTAATTCACATGTGTAATTAGCAAAATAAATCAGGAATTCAGAATAGAGGGTGAGCAATGGATTATTCTAATAGATAAAAAATTAAATTGCTAGATGGTGCATGTTTGTCCTGTAGACTTAACATTGTATATTTGCCATTCTTCTATGCCTGAATCAGTGCATGTTTTCCAAATCTCTCTTCAGTAATATCATTTACTTGGTAAGAGCTTTAATTCGATACCTGAACTGTGTTTTTAGCCCCAGCTGTTTACTCAAACTAAGTCAGACAAACTGAAACCCTCTTTCAATTAATATAGAGATATGATATTGAAAGATAGCTTAAATTATTTTATGGTAATTAATACTTCATTACCAACATGTATTCTTTTTACACATACTTTAATGTAAAATATATTTTACTTGGATAATCCTGATAGCAAAAATTATTGAAACAAGTTTTATCGTTTATTAAAAATACACTTTTAAATTAAAAACAGGGGGAAAACACATTACACTTGTTCTTACACCTCAGAAACAATAAAGTTACATAAAGATATCTGAAAACACTAACATATGAAAATTAAAGCCAATGCTGGAGAAAAGGCATCTTATTGTATTAAGTTATCATTTCCAATAAATTGTATTGTACTGTAATTACATAGCAGAGTCGACTATTTTTTAGAGACTCTCTTTTGCTTCAGCATGCCAAAATTGTCTATGAATGTTCCTCTGATGGTGGTATAAAGTTATCAATAAAATTACAATTAATAATACTAAAAATCAGGGTGACAAATTACTGTTGAATTTAATTCATTAGTGATTTATCATCCTGGTTTTTAGTATTATATGAAAAATGCATTTTAATAAACTCTTATTAAACAATTTTTCTTGTTTAATAAGAGTTTATTAAACAATATTTATTTCTGATATTTAAATAGCTATAAAGTAAAAAAAATTTTGTTAGGTAGGATATTTAGAAAATTACTTTTAGAAAAAAAAATTTATCATAATTAAAGTACCAAGAATAGAATTTGCTATTTATTTATTAATCTGTAACACTTTTAGATATTTATTTTCCACTTTTATTAATTTCATTGTTTTATCACTTATAAAGAACAATTAATGAATAATCTTCAGTTTTCAAAAACTGAAAATTAAAGTTTGTTGTGAGCTATTAATTGTCAAGTAATAGTTAGGTATTTGCTAGGTATTAAATAATGAAGAATGATAATATAGTAGAGCCTCGAAAACTCGGCCTAATGTGGACCGAAGGGTGACCGAGTTTGTGAAAATGCCGGGTTATCGGGAATGGGTTAAAAAAAATAAGTATGAGTGTTTCCTCAGAAAATACTGTATTGTACTTGTATGTATTGTTTACTTGAGAATACAACAGAGAATAAACTGCCCAAATACCCTTAAACAAAGGAAAAGTACGTCTTTTATGAAGGCATAGAGCCTTTACTATATGAAAATGAAAATTAATGAATACACTGTGTACAGTAATTTACCTGATAAGACAGACCTCAGAAAAATACTTTGAGGCATAAAGCTGTCTTTATCATAAAAATTAATTAACTAAGGATTTTTTTTGCCCTGCCAGGGTGTGGCCGAGTTATCCAGAGTGCTGGGTTATCGAGTGCCGAGTTTTCGAGGCTCTACTGTATAACCCAATAATCTGGCAGATTGGCATTAATTAAAGATTAGATTAATGGATTTATATCTACCATGCTGAAGACCATAATTATATGGTCTTTAGCATGAAGAATATTTTGGTTACCTAAAATTGCAGTTTAATTTTTGGTAATTAATAATGGAAATGATTTTTGTATGATTTTATTCTAATTTCACAAATTTTTCCCTGAAAGGAGTTAGATGACTAGCATGACTCCCTTGCTAAAGGAAAAGTATGATGTACAGTACAGTACAGGGCTTGCTAACAAAAAAGTGTAATGTACAGAGGCAAGACACTATTAATTTGAGGTCGAGAGCACATACAGCATTTTAAATTAAATAAATTTTAAAAATATGATTAAAAATTATAGCCCGGCGTTGTGATGATGTCAATAAATAATTGCTCATATAGATTTAGTTTACTTTTGTTATAATATATGACTTTAGTAATTTGCATGATCTGAAAGAAGATTGATTTAATTAAATAAATTAATAAGTGAAAAATAGTAAAAGTGATCATCAACTCAGGTGAACTTACTTCTCTTTATTTGATTAAGATTTCATAAAGTTTAAACAATTAATTAATCTAAAAGTAATATAATAGCTATAAATTGATAAATTTTGAGCAGAAATATTTATCTGTAAATTTTTTGTCTGATGGAGATTATTTTTTAATAAAATTGAAAACAAAGTCTGTCCAAAAGGAATTGCCATTTATTTTTTCTGTGTTCCAGACAATACACATTCTTGGCGACTGACCTTTCCTTGTATCAACTCCAACAAAGGTATAATGGATGCAAGCGAGACGTCTGTATGTCACCTGTTCCTTTTTTAGAAATTACTTGTAATTTTAATTGGATATATTTTGTGTTTTTTAAAAGGACTTTTTTAACTTCTGGCGACAAGTTGTCTACAAGGAAAGGTCAGTCGCCAAGAATGTGTATTGTCTGGAACACAGAAAAAATAAATGGTGATTCCTTTTGGACAGACTTTGTCTTCAATTTTATTATTCAGAAATATTTACTTTGGTTTATACTATTCTTATGTTTAGTTCTGTATGTTACTCCATGTCTCTCAGTTTTTCCTAATTCATCTCATAAAGTTTCCTTATTTGTCTCATTTGTCAGAGGATTGTATAGTGCTCTCTTTTTGTGAAGGATTACCTTTGAGGTGTTATAAGAGCATTTTGCATCAATAAAGACTAAGATCTTCTAGGACAACTATCAAGAATCATATTCATTTGATCTCAGGTAAATATCATCTTGCACTAGCAATTGTAACTCTATCTAAATTTGGAAAATATTACAAAATTTCCTATGAATGTGTCCTAAAAGTCTTTCTAAATGTGTTCTAAATGTTCCTAAAAGTGTTCTTCATCCTTTGTCCACCAGCAGGAAATAACAATTCTTTGTACACCAGCAGGAAATAACAATTCTTGCAGCAGAGTCAATTTTTATCTGGAGGCTACTTCCCCGCCTTGGCATGCAAAACATTACAAATTATCCTTTTGTGTCAGCAAAATCACTTATAAAAGTTGTCCCGGTAGTAAATTTTATTAAATGTATAACTTTTATAAGTGATTTTGCTGACACAAAAGGATAATTTGTAATGTTTTGCATGCCGAGGTGGGAAGTAGCCTCCAGATAAAGGTTGACTCTGCCACAAGAATTGTATTTCCTGCTGGTGTATGAAGGGACAAAGGAAGATGGACACTTTTAGAGTTTGTTTGTAGGAAAGTTTGTAATTTTTTCCAAATTTATAATTGTTGTTCCAGCAGTAAATTTTAATAAATGTAACTCTCTCTCTTCAACTCATGTGCAACTTTGGTGAATGATTGTCAATAGATCTATCAGTTTGTTATTTTCTTGTTTAATTTAAATGTGAATGATTATTTCATGTTTAAATAAATCTTTTCATTATCATCTAATACAATATCTGAATGATTTGCTTCCATGTTGCCTCTCAAATTCCTCCTCCATTCGCTTATCCTGAGTTCCCATACAAGACTGCTTGCTGGTAAAATCCCCATATGTTGTGCTTGTAAGGTTTGGTATCCACATCTTAAATAAAGGTTTCTTGTGAACAGATAATCATAAGCGGTATCAGAACATCTGAAGCTATTCTGAATATAGTTACTTACATTTAGCAATCATTTATATTTCCTCATCATGAAATAGGGAAGGTGAGTCAGCCTTCCTACACCTCACAAAGTTAATTCATTCTTATAGGGACCTTGAATAAGTTCTCACTGTTTTTTTGTGAAAATTAACACTTTATTTAAAAAAAAATCATAAAAAACATGTCACTGAAAGTATTGTCATAGCTAGACACTACTTTCTCCCATCATTCTGGCAGCATTTGAATTCCACTTTGGAAAAATGACAAATCTTTTGAGGCTATCCAAGAATCAACCCATTTTTTGGCATCTTCATAAGAATGGAAGTGCTGCTCAGCCAGGCCATGTGCCATCGATTGGAACAAGTGATAATTGGAAGGGACAATGCCTGGTGAATACGGCGGATGGGTAGGACTTCCCATTTAAGCGTTTCCAAGTAGGTTTTCACCGGTTGTGCAACATGTGGCCGAGTATTGTCATGTTGCAAAATCACTTTGTCGTGTCTCTGCTCGTATAGAAGCCAATTTTCCTTCAATGCTTGGCTCAAACTCATCAATTGTAGTCAATAGTGATCTCCCATGATGGTTTCGTTTGGTTTGAGCAGCTCATAATAAACTACTCCTAGCTGATCCCACCAAATGCAGAGAAGAAGCTTCAAACCATGGATATTTGGCTTTGCTGACGATGTTGATGCATGGCCAGGCTTACTTACAATTTTCTATGCTTAGGGTTATGGTAGTGTATCCATTTTTCATCACCTGTCATGATACGATGCAGAAAACCTTTCCTTTTCTGCCGTTGAAGCAGCTGTTCACATATGAAAAGACGCCGTTTAACGTCTCTCGGCTTCAACTTGTATGGCATTCAATGTCATTGCTTTTGAATCATTCCTAATCCTTTCAAACGCTTTGAAACTGTTGTGTGATCAATTCCTAATGATTCTGCAAGTTTAACTAGCGTCTGACACAGTCTTCATGAAGTAATGCCTTCAATTCCTTGTCTTCAAACTTTTTTGATGCACCAGATCGTTCTTTATCTTCAACATCAAAATCATTATTTTTGAAGCGTCTAAACCAATCTCTGCATGTTGTTTCTGACAGAGCATGGTTGCTGTAAGTCTCAACAAGAATTCTGTGTGCTTCAGCTGCAGATTTTTTTTGAATAAAATAGTGCAATAAAATTCCCCGCAAATACTCTTTTTTGGCACGAAACTCAACACGTTTAACACTATGAAAAAATAAGTTGTTTACACTTTGATGAAATGACATATACTGTACCGAATTTCACAGTCGCTTATTGTACAGTACTTCCTTACAGATGCATCACCATCTAAAAATACATGCACATGGTTCTAGTAATACCATCTGTTGGAAAACAGCGAGAACTTATTCAAGGTCCCTATATCTTTTTCTCAATCCTTCATTAATTTTAATTTGATAATTTCTTTATTAATAATCTTATGTACTACTTGTTTCTAGATGTGTATCTTAAATATTTTGTTTCAAAAGAAGATAACTTATTTGAATCTTTTGTTTATAATTTCCTATTCTATATAAAAAAATACTAGTTCAAACAAATAAAATATAAAGCTTTATTTTTGTCTTATATGAATAATGGCTATTTTTTCAATATATTATTTAACGTATAGGAAAACATAGATTACATTAAGCATTAAGATTTTACTGTTGAACTATTTTTAGAAATGTTTAATATTTAATAATTATGGATAAATATACAAAGTAATTTTTTGATGATGTTTCAATTATTTATAGATCAAGTGTAAGCACTAAGAATATGTAAAAGAAAACTTTAGTCAGTTAATTTGTGTGTTATAAAATTTTTAAATTTATTTTTATGCCAGAAAATATGGATTAATGTGCATTTAAAACGTGTTTTCTTGCAAAGAAAACACGTTTTAAATAGATACTAAATTGACCTTTTCACGTGTTTCCAGCAATTTCAACATACTATATACATAAAGCAAAAGTTTTTGGTCTCGTTCAGGGTCCAGTGTCAGGCTTTTTATTGAATATTTTATAGCCAAATTTTTTAATTTGGAACACTTTTTTGAAAGTTCTGTGTCTTGCATTAAGATATATATAATTTTTATATATAATTATGTTTAAAATGCTTTCCTCCCTCTTTTTTGTAATACATTATTGTTCTTTATTATCATTCAGTACTGATGTATCATATTACCACTTAATTGATAGCTGTTAGTTATCAATATTATTCAAGTGTACACTTTTCTCTTGTAATTTAAACAATAATTTTTAAATGATAAATATATCTTGCAGGTTGTATGTATGTATCTTAGCAAATCATAAATATATAAAATTATATAAACCTTATATATATTTTGAATGTTTTCTTCTCTCCCTTTTGTTATATGTCACTGTTTTTTATTATATTCCAATTTTGGAACATTACAGAGACCTGAAGATGATCTTACAGTAGATTGAAAAGGTTTGAAAATTAAGTATATTAAAGTTCTTTACTGGTGATTTAAGGTTTTTATGGTGTGTAATTATAGTTTATATCAATCCAATCTGATGTAGAAGTTGAATTTTGTTCTAAGGAGTGAAATATGTCATCTTGTAGGATATTTACTATATTATGATTTTGAAACAGTTGGAAATACTGTTACGGTAGAAATTTTAATTCTGTTATTTGTTTTTGAATACATATCATTTATGATTTTTATGAAGTTAATGATTAATCCTGTAAAGTACTATTTTATTTTTCTGACTTTTCCAACGATTATCGACACTACTGTGTGCCGGAAATAGCCGTTCCCTAACGGGTACTTTACGCGGATTCGCGTTAACGTGCCAGGCCTGGACTTTTAGCGTGCACCGAATTAAATAATAACAAAGTTTGTCAATAACAAATCAAATATTTAATTAATTTCTAGTAATAAACTATTTACAAAGTTTAGTAAAAAATCAACAACAATTTATTCAATGAAAATCAACAAGAATCAACCTGACAAAGCTCAAATCAATCTAGTTTCTAACTTAAATCTATTCCCCTTTGGAATTTGACAAAAATCAAAGACTTAACTTATAAACAATAATTCTTATAAATTAAAAGATCCTAATTGTCACCTCAATATACTAGGAACCTATTTGATCCTATCGGACACCTCTCTTGTTCACTGCTACGAAGCTCACCAAAGTTCGTTGCTATCAGGAGTTCACCTCGTTCATCTTCACTTGAGACTCGGGATTTATAGTGTGAGGTGACGTCACAATTCTGAATGAGATCACTCCCCTCATTTACATACTTAACGCTAACAATAAACTTTTTTCATTTGTCTGGCAGCCTATTTTCCGATAATACTCGCTAACCTTTTACATTATTCTTTTTCACAATTTTTGGGACGTTTTTATTCTTTAAGGTTTAGCGAGTCCCTAATTCGTGCTTGTGGGGTCTTCCCCCCTTTTCTCGGCGTGGACTTACTTTTTTCCGCTCGGGAAGCGCAAGTGTGCGCGAGTTTTTCTACGGCGCTTTTCTTTCGTCGGTGAGTTGGTTTTTCTTCTATTTTTAAGTTCCTAAGGTGAATGGTGAGGAAACCTTCGTCCTAACAAAACATAAGCCCCAAACAAAAATAGAATAATAAACAAAATAAAAGTAAATAAAAATAATGCTTGGACTTGGTTCCTTACAGTCCATAACTTTTAGAAGAAAGCAAAAATCATCATTTACAAACTCAAATTTGAAATTTTTATATCTTATTAATTTTAAATTTAAATTTTTGAGATTTAATGATTTAAAATCAGTAAACACAACAGAAAATTTCTATATTTGATAGAATTATACTAAGAAAGTATTGATGAGATTTACATTCAGTTGAGCACTGTCACATCTTAACTGGATTCTTCCAATCAAAGAGCACAGACTCAAGATATTTGAATGAAATTTTGTGTGTATTGATTCATTGGTACATTTTTGCAAAGATCATACAGCCAATCAAAACATTTTCAAAAATTCATTGCAAATAAGATTGCTTAAAATGTTCATATATACATGATACCCTCAAATTACACATTGTGTTGCTACAAAGTCAGCTGGAGCCAAATTGAGTAAGTAGGGCAGGTTATCAAGTATGATGACCATTTTTTATGTCATCTT